AGCCCCATCCCTGCTGATTCCACTGGTTACTGAGAGAGGAGCCTCTCAGCATGTGTTCAACAACAATTGTGGGTTTAGATGTTTTTGCATGTGCATGTCAATAAGGTCGGCTTTGATTGTCAATGTTACCCTACCTTCCAATAATTTGGGCATTTTCTTCTTTTGAATGCCATAGCCCAGGTCGGGCAGATGGCAGCCTGTGGGTTATAAATCTGGTTTTCCTGAACACACTCCTCCTGCCTGTGTGCGTAGCTCTGTCACGCCAGGGCAGCAGGCCGAGCGGTCCTGACTGAGACTGCACCAGCCATGATCTAGCCCTTGAAGAAGAAGCCCGCTGACCTCTGCCCAGCGCCATGCGGCTGCAGTGACTCACTCTCTCTCTCTCTCTCTCTCTCTCTCTCTCTCTCCTCCCCCTCTCTCTGAGAGAGCGAGCGGGCCCAGCCCTCAGCTCCTCAGTCGCGGGAACCACGATCCACTGGATGCCTGCGACCGTGGCCACATAGCTGTGGGACGATCCTCTCACTGTGGGGTGTTCTGCCGGGCAGCCCTGCTGTGACGGTGGCCTCCCTGCACTGGCCACGGCATCTCTTCTGCCAGTGAGTTTTTGGTCACTGGTGTATTTTTGTGTTTTTAGCATTTTTATTTTAAAACTTTAATTGATTCTTAAGAGATGGGGTCTCGCTGTGTTGATCTTGAACTCTTGGGCTCAAGCGATCCTCCTGCCTCAGCCTCCGGAGCAGCTGGGACTACAGATGGCTGTCACTGTGCCTGGCTGATATTTTTGGTTTTGAGTCAGTTTTTGGTGGCTCGTATTTTCCTAGAAAATCGCTCTCTCAGACTCACAGAGCCTCCTCCCGGCTCGGCCAGCTGCTCTCCTCAGAAGCCTGTCTGAGGGCGTCTTCTGCGAGCCCCGGCTGGCGGGGAGAAGTCCATCTGATCTGGATCTCTCCCTTATTTAGTGATGGAAGCCCAGCAGGGTGAGCATTTTTATCCAAATGCAGCCTCGCCGACCCCCTCCACTCCACAGCATCTTGAACTCAGCGCCCCTCCTCTTTGAAACAGTCTGACATGTTAAGCAGCATCCTCCATCTCCTCGGTTAGGAGCGGTGGCCACGTCGCTGATGTGAAGTCGTAACAGCGTTTATCTCTTGTTCCACAGCGTCGTAGTGAGACACGTGGCCTGGACCACTTCAGTCATCATTTAAGGAGCTGTACATCTCGGTTAACTGATCGATGACCAACTTTTGGTGATGTGTCCAGTGGTCAGCCTCCACTAGGGCGGGTGGCACAGCTTCAAGAGACAGAGCCCAGGGACAACGTTGTCAGTCAGCCGCTGTCTCAGGCCCCCAGGGCCTGGCGTGCCCCACCGCTACAGCATGTGGATGTGGGGCCACTCGTGCTCGGACGCGGGTTACAAGAGCAGGGCGGTCCCTGGGCTCCATGTGCTGGACCCCACGCTCCAGTTCACACGGCCCCCGATCCCCCGGGACCTCCACTGTGCAGTGTGCTCTGGGGACCAGCCTCCCTGATCCTGGGAACCTCAGGTGAAAACAGTGATAGATTTTCACGAAGAAAGACACCCTCAGCAAAGCGAGCAGGGTCAGCTCCCCAGTGCCCAGGCCCGGGAGGCAGCGCCAGGAACCCCAACGGTGGGAATGCCGTCAGTCCCCACAAAAACACACATGGAGACCCCGTCCCCGCTGCAGCAGTTCAGGGGGCTTGTGGGTCACCCTCCTTAGTGGATTCATGCTCTCCTCTCAAGGGGGATTAGCTCTTGGGGGAGCTCAGTGCCCCCTGCTCTCTCCCCTACGCCTGCTGGTCCTTCAACTTCCAGCCGTGAGTTGAAGAGCGCAGGGCCCTCACCAGCACAGCCACCTTGAACTTCCCAGCCTCCAGAACCATGAACTCTTCTTTACCTATCACCCGGTCTCAGGTTAGCAACAGAAAATGAACTACAACATCTTCATTTTACAGATAAGGCAACTGAGGTACAGAGAGGTTACCTGTATTTCCCAGTCACACAGCTAAGAAGTAGAGTGGGACTGAGAATGAGAATCACTACATTCTGTTGCTCCCCACACTCCACTGTGAAAACGCATCTGAGAACATTAAAAAAGAATTAACATCCAGAATGTACAAAAAGCTGCTAATAAACCAATCAGAACACCAATATAAACAAACCAATTTTAAAAAAGGACGAAAAATAAAACAGCCAGCTGACAATGGAAGGGAAACGATAATTGCGTGAAAGGCTGTTCAAGCAAGTCCTGGGGACAGGCAGGGGAACAAGACGGGAGTTTCATCTGACAGATCACAGAAATCCAGGATGTTCGACAGAGCCAGGAGGCGGTGGGAATGGCCCTCACACTGCGGGTGGCCGGGTGGATCTGAGCCGTCCTTATCCAAAATGCTGGGACCAGAAGTACGTCAGACCTGGGGGGTGGTTGGAATGTTTGCAGATACATAATGAGATATTTTGGGGATGGGACCCAGGTCTAAACACGGAGTTCATTTATGTTTCAAAGAGGCTTATACACATAGCCCGGAGGTAATTTCATTTAACATATCTAGAATAATCTAACACATGAAGCAAAGCTTCATGGTATCAATTTTTCACTTGTGGTATGTCAGTGCCTCAAAAGTCTGATTTTGGAGCATTTCACATTTCAAATTTTCGTCTTAGGGACACTCAGCCTGTTCTGCCTTTTGAACGACGGTGTGGTGGGGTCCACTACCAGTCAAAATGCACTTCACTTTTGACCAGCAGCTTCGGGTGAGGTCCCTCTCCTACAGCTCCCGCTCACGTGGGTGCTAGGAGGTCACACCCAGGAGTTCTCCCCAGCCACCTGTGCTCCCCGCCTCACTGAGGTCCCCTGGTGCCCTGTGGGACCCACGGAGCGCTCTGGGCAGCCTCCACACACACCTCGCTCCTTGCACTTCAAGCCACCTGTGTCCCTCCCTCAATTTCTTCAAGCCAGTTGTACCTGTGATACCATCTATCACTTAATGCTGAGAATCAGTGGTGGCCAGTGCCAGGGGAGCGTTTTATAAAAACTAAGCTGACAGCTCTGAGTTCATGGAAGGCAAGTTGCTAACACCCCCAACCAAACCAAACCGCCGCTAGGGTGAAGGCAAAACCTCGAGCGCAGCACTGGGGACAGCGTCACAACAACCCAGAAGGCTTCTGACGGAGTCTTCCTACGTGTCTAAACTCCAAAAGCAGACGGTGCCTTAAGGCTGTGCTTTATCAGAAGAGGTAAATTAGATGAAGTTAGTCCTCCAACGGGAACCTAGGGTCAAAGAAAAGGCCTAGGTGGACACTTTAGCGTTGTTTGCCTTTTTTTTTTTTAAAGTAATGCAAGTGTAGCAATGAGTTATATATGCAACTTTACAATACTTAAAAAAAAAGTGGTACCTTTATCCATGTAAAGGACACCTTTAACAGCATGAGGCGACTCCTGCTCACTTTGCTAACTTGCTGGCCCTGTGATTCTACCATCCCATAATAATGAAGTCGTTAACTTTTGTGGTACAAGGGAGGACTTGCGTCTTTAATGGAGGAGCTTCAGCAATTTGCATTTATTGTTATAACTGACAGGTTTGTTATTAACTCTGCCACCTTTTTCAATGCTGTTTGTTTCCTGTGCTTCTTTGCAGTTTGCTGTGCTTTTCTATGTGACACAAAAGGCCCTTCCTCGGCTTCTAGCTACGTTTATGTTGTGAAAGGCTCATGCTTTCTTTCAAGTTCTACATATTATGATTGATCTCTAAGTTTTGTATCAGAAGTCTCCTAAAACAGACAAACTCTTGATGTAGCCACTTACAAATCCCTGCTCAAGAGCCAGGAGGGTTGCCAGCATTTAAACTCATTTTTCCTGATTCTACAGGGCAGGAGGTTAGCAGGTGAATCCCTGGTGGTCCTTCAAGAAGCCAGTTTTATCAAACCTTCTCTCTGCTTGGAAGCCCAAGTCTGAGTTAGAGGATGCAGATCGGGAGCTGTTCTCAGTCTTGATCATTCACAATGGATGCTATAGTCTACCATGTTTGCTTTTAATTTGTATTTATTTATTTATTTTAAGAGAGGGGTCTCACTCTGCTGCGTGGGCTGGCCTGGAACTCCTGGGCTGAAGAGATCCTCCTGCCTCAGCCTCCCAAGTAGCTGGGCTGTTTTGCTTTTTAAATAACAACAAGAGGGCTGGGATGTAGCTCAGTGGAAAGCGCATTCCCAGCACGCCCAGGCCTGGCTTCCCTCGCCAGCACCACACAAACACACACGATACAATCAACACACACACACGTCCACAGGTCCTCTCTCCTCGCTGTTGACCATACTCTCATCTCTCTAAATCACACAACTTTCTTTGATACCCGAATAATCTTTGTTCCATTAAAACAAGCCCTGAGGTTCCCCGATACTTGTTTCTCTGTTCCTCTGTTTCTCCCTGCCAGCTGCAGACCAGGCAACCTCACGACTGCCCAAGGTCAGTGGAAGGATCTTGCCCACAAACCCGGGCAAGAGACTCACGGCCCTGATTTCTGCCCAGTTGGGGGTGGAGGTGGCCACGCCGGGGGATTTCTTTCAGCACCCCTGCTCCTCCAAAGTTCAAATGGCCCCCAAATAAAGTTGGGGGATAAGATGACAAGGGAAAGGAAGTACAGCAGATTTCTGTCACCCAGCTTAGGTGGCTGGGGTGATCTCACAGTCACCACAGGCTTAGCATCACCTGGTGCTTTAGCAGAAACGCCCCATGGCAGTAAAGAAGGGTGCGCGAATGCCATCTTCCCACCCGAGGGCACGCGCCTGTCGGAGCCTCAGCCCTGGGGAGGGGCTGACCTAGAGGCTACAGGTGCCTTCAGTTGCCCCCGAGATAATGTCTTCTTTCCTGTGTGGTCTCATGGGCGCGCCCTGCCAGTCATCCTCCTGATGAACCACAACAGAACCTCAGCCCCCAGAGGAAGGTCCCCCATCAGCTGGGACCAAGTGAAGCCCCCGCGCTTACCTCCTGCAGTTTGACCTCCTCGGGCTGCAGGATCTCCAGCACCCCGCTGCTCTGGATCTCTGGAAGGTCCTGCCAGAGGTTGAACCTCGAGTGGGGGTTACTGAGCAGGCAGATCTGGGGCACAGCCCTCCTCTGGGGTGGGCTCGCCGGCTCTTCCTCTTCCTCCTCTTCCTCCGGAGTGTCCTCGCCGGTTGGGGACCCATCCTCATCGCCCTGTATCTCTGCGTCCTGTTGCCTCCTGGTCTCGATTTCTTGGAGGGTTGATTTATCTCGGTATTCCTGATATAGGAGCCCTGGAATAAAAAAGCGTTGTATTTTTGAAAAGAACAAGATTTTTGATGGCAATCATTTCAAATCACTATAACGTCATACTCTTACTGCGAGGGGACGCTCTACTGAGGAGCACACGGAGAAAGACGGACTCTCTTGCTTCCTAGTAATAGGCTCTTGACCCCAGAGCAAACTGCCTCCTCTCCCTCGTGGGAAAGACCAGAATGTGCAAGTTTTCTCCACCACTAAGAAAGGTCTCTGATTCAAAATCCAGTCACACAAATGCGAGCTTTCGTCAGCAAAATGAGAAGGCAGACCTTGATGTGTCAGTAACTGGAAGAGCACTGTTGACGGAAATGTCCTGGTTAGGTCTCAACATCCAGCAGGGACCTTCCCACAGCCCTAATGCCCCAATAGTAACTCTCAAGCACACTCATCCATGGCGTGGGAGTAGCTGTCAATTTGCATATGGAGGAAAAATCCCTGTCTCAGCAACCTGAGGAGTCCAAAGGGACCCATCTCTTGTGCACAGTCTCCGATGGCTTCCCCAGCCGGTTCTAAAACCAATGCACCCGTCTCAAGGAAGACTCTGGGGTACGAGAAGTTGGAATGGATGTAGCAGCTCCTTCAGGGCAACTGGCTGTGGGTAGAGGGACTGTCCGTCCACATGACCCTTCCTTCCACAAGGATGCGGGGACAGGGGTCAGCCCCAAGGGTCTTGTCAGCCACGCACAGAAACAGGACTCTGCCCATTGGCCAGGGAGGCCCCAGGAGCTCTCAGGCCAGCATGCCTGGGTTGCATTCAGCAGAACCAGACTGGTAGGAGAGGGCTGCAGTTCCAAGGACAGCAGATGAAGTGGTGGTAGTAACAGAGCTCAGGGCCCGACTCAGGGGACAGTCCAATGTAGAACAATGGCTGGTGCTGGGTAAAATCCAGGTCACCAACTTGGCAAGAGGGTCTCGTGGCACCATTCAAGAGGACAAGGAACACGAATGGAGGCTCTGAGTGGGGGTGGGGTAGTGCAGAGATGAAAATGTCCTGGGGTCCCCAGTGGAGAAACCCAGCTGGGCAGCTGGACTTACTGGTCTGGAGCTCGGGACAGTGGCTGGGACCCCTAGGTTTGTCCACTTGGAAAGCACCCTCTCCTTCAGTACAGCCCAGACGTGTTAAGCGTGTCTAAACAGTGGGAAGGGGTGAGAGAGGAAAGACCACCTCGGAGACCCTGGATAAGTGAGCTGGGTCAGTCACATCCACGGGCAGGAACCTCATCAGTCTATCTGCGGGTCACACTGTTGGCTTCCAATGCTCCATGACTCTGAATCATAAAGCCTTTAACTGAGCCCCTGTGCTTTGCAATGTCACCATCCAGCAGAAGACAATGTGGAGTTCATGTGACAAAGGAATGAAAGTCCATCTATGCTAAATACAACTCAGGTTGGGGACCTATAAGGACAATTGAGTGTCACCACATAAATGGGCTCGATTGTGACACGTGACTGTTGCTATCAAGCTTGTTATTTTCCTGGGCTTCTGACAGACAGGATGCTTACGGAGGCTTCCACCTGGGTTCACCTTTCAATGTTTAACTCGCACCCACGAGGCCCTCACACATTTGTTGAACACCTTTTTAAGTGCAGTTTCCAAGCTTCCTCGGAGTGTCTACCCTCGCATACTTTTGACATTTCAGAAAGCACATCTTAAGCATGCTGCAGGCAGCTAATCCGGGGCAGAACTACCTCCAACTTTTCACAGGTGCATGCGACTTCAGCACTGGGGGGGATCACATTGTGGCAGACGCTCTCAGGGGCTCCCCTCCGTCCCTCACACCCTGGCTTCCCAGGTAGCAGGGCAGGGGTTTAGTTTGGGTGTCGCCCATCTGTGCTCCAGGATGTGGGTGATGTTGACTGAGGGACACCTTCCCAGACAGCTCCCTTCCCCTTGCCAGCGGTGGGTTTGGGCATGGGCATGTGACACCTGCAAGTTCATATGCTGGAACCTAATGCCCAGGGTGACAGTCTAAGAGGTGGGACATCTGGGGAAGTGATTTCCATGAACAGAGCACTGTCCTTATGAAAGAGGTTGAGGGGAGCAGCATTGTCCCTCCTGCCACATGAGGACTCCAGGAAAGGGCCATCTGAGCCCTCACCATCGGGAATCAGCTCTGGTGCTGGGCCTCAGCCTCCAGAACCATAATAAGTCATCCAGTGTCAGAGTGTGGATGTGGCTTGTTCCCGAGGTGGAGGCTTGGTCCCAGTGTGGTGGAGTTGAGAGGTATCTAGGCCATGGGCCACTTCCTTTTAAGGACTCCACAAGAACCTCAGTTTAAGAATGGGTGGTTGGGCTGGGGATACAGCTCAGTTGGTAGAGAGCTTGCCCCGCATGCACAGGGCCCTGGCTTCAATACCCAGCACCACACACATAAAAAATGGGTTGTTCTTGGGACTGGGTTGTGGCGGAGTGGTAGAACGCTTGCCTAGCACATGTGAGGCACTGGGTTCAATCCTCAGCACCACAAAAAAATTAATAAGTAAGATAAAGGTACTGTGTCCATCTACAACTAAAGAAAGAATGGGTTCTAAAAACAGTGAGCCTGGCCCCGGAATCTTTTGCATGTAATCTCTCCTGCTCATTCCCATTATGCTGCCACCCACCATGTTATAACAGTACCAGGGAACCTTTATCAGAGCCCATCAGAGACTGGTGCCATGCTCTCAGACCTCTGAACTGTGAGTTTAATAAATCTCTTTTCTGAGATTAACATTAAACAAAGATGAGTGGGGGGAGAGAAAGGGAGAGAGAAGGGAAAGCATATGGAAATGGTAGGAGACCCTCAATGTTACACAAAATTACATATAAGAGGTTGTGAGGTGAAAGGGGGGGGAACAAGGCAGAGAATTGAACAACAGCAGATGAGGTAGAGAGCGAAGATGGGAGGGGAGGGGAGGGTGGATAGTAGGGGATAGGAAAGGTAGCAGAATACAACAGTCACTAATATGCCATTATGTAAAAATGTGAGTGTGTAACCGATGTGATTCTGCAATTTGTATTTGGGGTAAAAAAGGGAGTTCATAACCCAATTGAGTCAAATGTATGAAAGATGATATATCATGAGCTTTGTAATGTTTTGAACAACCAATACAAAAAATAAATAAAAAAAATAAAATAAAATAAAGAAAAAAAATAAATCTCTTTTCTATATGAATTCCCTATCTCAGTTATTTTGTTATAGTCACAAAAAGATATTTTGTTTTATACAGATTAAGACACTGGCCAAGGAGAGAAAGAGAAAGGAGACATATTCTAAGGGCTTCTCAAAAAGATGTCTCTCCCCAAGAAACACTAAAAGACAGCACCCTTCCTGCTGCTACAGACCACTGCTGGAGGGTGTGATGCCTGGAGCCATTACAGCCGATTGAGGAGGAGAAGCACTGTGATGTCTGTTTGGGTGATAAACCTATTCGGGACCTTCTCTCCCCTGGACTCATTGACTGACATGGGCTGCCTTCATCATTTAAGATCAGTTTTTGCTAGATATTCTGTTAGTTGCAGCCAAAATAATTTTAGAATTAAAAAAATGCAGACTTTTTTTTTCTGAGGTATACATTTAGAACATAAATTGGAACTCCAATTTTTTTCTGGAGTTACTATGATTATGGAATTATTTGACATGCTATTATAACTACTTTTCATAATCTTTGTTTTTTGTTTGCATTAAATTCAGATTACTGTATAATCTAATTCAGACAACCAAATACAGTAGATTTATATGAGGAACTACATGTTATCTGAGAACTCGCTGTACTCAGAGTATTGCATTTAATTTTTTTTTTTTTTTTTTGCAGTGCTGGGGATCAAACCAGGGCCTCACATGTGCTAGACAAATGCTCTACCACTCAGCTGTGCCTCAGCTCAACATGTTGTGAATATAGCATGTATTCCTATTTTATATTTGTATGTTCAGTAAGCACAACTTTATATGGAAGTTAATTTTCCCTTTTGTAAATCTTTTTAATTTACAACACCTTGCACTTGGTATCACATGCATGTAGAATAGGAAGGCTCAGTTCCAACTCTTATTAAAAGATCTAAACCAGGTTGACTGGAAAAGGAGGGTGAGTCCCCAGCTCCTTTGGCCAAAGCCTCCTGAGTCATTTCAAATCCCTCCTCCTGAAAAGGATTCCTTTTTATTTCATTCTTCATATACAATTTGAAGGGTGGGGAATCAATTATGACTTAGTGAGCAATTCTATGTGCTGAGCATAGACAATCTCTCTCTCTCTCTTCACACACACACACACACACACACACACACACCACTCCAGGGGCTCGGGCTGTGTGATCTCTGGGGCCACAGCCACTGTGACGACAGCTGTGTACTCTAGTGTGCAGTCACTAAACATTCTGTGTAACCTGAGTTGTGGCCACTGCAAAATCCAAAACACAGTCTACAAAATGCAAACAAATTCATTCCACTTTCTGTCCCCTGGATTTCACTCTGCCCTCAGGACCCTGCCGTCCTTTCCTGACACCTGGTGAAGAATCCTCTCACTCACATAGCCGAGGGCAGCTGGGCTGGGGAAGGGACCTGCATGGCACAGCCATTGAGTCTCCAATGAAGACTCACCCCATCCATGGAGACCTACGGGAAACAGGGAAAGATGCTCCCCATGACACCAGCAGATATGGAGAAGGAGCTGTGGGGGAAAGGCTCAGAACCTCAGCGCCTCTGCTGTCTGTCAGGTGAGGAAACTTAGGCCCATGATGGGCAGACAGAAGACTCAGGGGCCCGGACTCCAGCTTGGAGCTTCTGCAGCTCCAGGGGAAGTGCTCGGCCTCCTGGGAGCAGATGGGGGCTTTGGCCCCTCCCCACCCTAATTCCTTCCTGGTCATGGCCCTGATCCTAGCCACAGAAGAGCCCCTTCAAGAGGGTAGAAGCCAAAGTTTCCATCACATGCTGAGGCAGAGGTGGCTCTCCTCATACAAAGGACAATGTGGCATAGCCTTGGGAAAATCTTTGTTGCAAAATCAGGATTTCTGCCAGACGCAGTGGTGCACACCTATAATCCCAGTGGTTCAGGAAGCCGAGTCAGGAGGATCACAAGTTTGAGGCCAGCCTCACAATTTAGTGAGGCCCTAAGCAACCCAGTGAGACCCTGTCTGTAAATAAAATACAAAAAAAAAGAGCTGGGGATATGGCTTAGTGGTTAATAGCCCCTGTGTTTGAAATCAGGCATCAGTTTCAGATTAGCCCCTCTCCACTTCCTCAGCCAACAAAATGAAAGGCCCCCACCGTGCCCCCACCCCAACCTGATGTACAGGGTACCACAGGAGACAAACTTCTGGGAGTCGGAGCAGCCTAACAGCACGCAGTGCACACTCCACCCCCTCAGCTTCACAGGGGCTTGCTCCTCTCAGGGTTGGGTTAGAAATCTCCCCGCCAGCCAGGAGGGGGCTGCCTGAAAAGCCTCCCAAATGCCAGGTCTCCCACTCTGAGGACACATTGTGTCTGTTCCAGTGATTGGGGCTAAAGGACAATAATGATATATTATTTAGACAAGAAAATTTCCAAATTTAGAATTTTTATTTTAACAAGTAGTCTGCTCTAATAACATCAAAGAATATTTTCTAAGCAGCCTTACCACTTTCAGATGAACGGAAACTACAGGTCCATTCACTGGTGCCCCTGGTGATGGCATGAGAACTAGCCTGATGTCACAAGCAATTTCTTAGTGCAAGGCATGGAGTTCTTTGGACACTCTCAGCCCCCTTTGTGAATTCTTGGTGGCCTATAGGAGCTGGACATACATGCTGCTCGTTGGGTGTCTCCCCAGAGCCATATTCCAGGAGAGGTTTCCCTTCCTTATTCAAGGGCTTCTGGGGCTCCTTCTTTCTCTATTTTCCCTTTCCTGGCTTGCAAAGTCCCTAGCCATCAGCCTGGCTCTGCCCAGGCGGGCCCTCCACACACCTCCCTCTCTGTTCCAACTCTGGGCCCACGCCCTGTTCTTCCCAGGCCCCTCCCTGCCTGGAGCAAGGAAGGCTCACTCTGCAGGGTCCAGCAGTACTGGTTCACCTCTTCTCTTTCTAGCAGAAGTGACTGAAGAGAGCCCTTGCTCAGGAGAGTTGGGCCAAGCAGAGTCAGCAGGATAGAAATCCATTTGCTAAATTAGCTCAATGTTACAGCACTAATAGGATGTGGCAGTTCTGCCTATGGACCATTCAGAACCACAGATATCAAAAACCTCATCCCACGGGCCAAGAGATCTCAGAGTCCACCTGGCACCCACTTTCTTAAACAAAACTCTGTCTCAACCAAGGACACCCACCTATTTGTTCGATGAGGTTTCTCCAGGAGTCCGCAGGAATGGGATGGATCATCTGCAGGGCCTCTGTGAGGGTGGTGGGGCTGTCCGCCAGGGCTGGGCACTCCTCGGGTGTGGTTCCATTTCCCGGGGTGGAGGATGACTCGCTGCCAGAGAGGGAGGACCGCAAGGCTGGTTATTTTTAAGCAACGAAACACCTTGGCCGGCTTGCCAGAGGCGTCTTCACAATCGGCTGCAGGCCAGCGGCACCCTGCCACAGGCTGTCCAGGCCGAGGGACCACAGCAGCCACTGCCCGTCCCAGCAGGGCGGACCCAAAGGCCCTTTTTGTCCTGCACCAGGGTGCGACGGGGTGATTCATTCCCACACTAGACCGCCCAAACCTTCATGTTTTTCGAGCTCGCGGGCAGGCGTCGGAAACTTGGCGCGCCCTGCCCGCGCGCTCGGTGGCGCCGAATGGTCGCCCCGACGGGTCCGCGGCCAGGAGGCCACCTTGCGCCCCTCGCGGTCATGCAGCCCCCAGTCCCTTTCGTCCCCGATCCTTCAGTCCCAGGGCCACTAAGGGCGGAGAGGGAATCCATGCGGCACGCGCACGCCCAGGACGTCCGGGGCGAAGGCATTGGAGGCGATCTTGGGGAGCAACTGGGGTGCCAGCGGCCGGGACACGGAAGCTGCCCTACTCCGGCCAGATGCCCGCCCGACGAGGGCCCGGGTAGGAGTGGGGGGCGGCGGGAGCCCGTGGGCCGGGGTTTGGGTATAGGCCTTGCCAGTCGGTGTCCGTCGCTGGGGGAGCAAGCAGGGAAGGAAGCGTACGGGGATAGCGCGCGGGAACCGGGATGGCCACGGGTCCTCACCTGCCGGGCAGGTGTCCCGCCGAATCGCGCGCGTCGCTCTCCGAGGTGGAGCTGTCGTGGTCCACAGCGCAGGCGGCGCTGAAGGCTGCAGCCAGCAGCTCCATGGGGGCCGGCGGCGGGGCGGGAGCAGGGGCCGGTGGGGGGCCGCGCTGGGGGCCCGGGCTGGGCCGGGGGCGACGCGCGGGCTCTGGAGTGAGGTCGCAGCGCGCGCGGCTGGAGCCGGAGCTGCCGCCGCCGCCACCGCCGCTGTCGAGCGCTCCCGCGGGCGCGCGCGCGCCTGGAGGCTCCGGGGGTTGCCACGGCAACGGGGGGAGGCGGGAGGGGCGCGCGCGGCGGGGGCGAGGCCCGGTTGCTGAGGGGCGGGGGCGCTCAGGCCGGGCGCGACAAGGGCCCAGCGGCACCAACTGCGGCGGGGACCTCGCGCGCCTCCGCGCCTCTCTCCAGCCGGCGACCGCTTCCAGCCGGGAGAGAGCGAGGGTAGACTGCCCAGTCCGCGAGCGGCGCCTCCGCCGGCCCGCCCCTTGCTTGCGGTGGTCGCAGCTCGGCCAGGCGTTCCTGGAAGGTGCGGGCGAGGTGACCCTCTGCCCCGAGTACTCTCGAACCGCCGCCTTGGCCACGCCGGGCACCCTGTGCAGTTTCGGGCAGGCTAGCGGCTGGTCGACCCTGCCTCTGCCACCCGGAGCCCGGCCTCGGGGAATGTGTCCTCGCTGGAAGTGCCTCCCTCTTTTCCCTGTTGGAGGCACACACTCGGGTCTTACAGGACCCCCGCACGATGGCTCCTGACACTTAGAGTGGGAAGGGAGTAGCGCGGAGACCTCTCCCCCCCGGGTCTCGCTGCAGGACCATCTGCTCTTAGCGACCCAGAGACCCTGGCGGGACAGGGTTGGGTTTGGGAGAAACGAAGTGCGCCAAGACTCTGCCCAGTTTCCCTGTCTAGTCACTTTGACTCTTGGAACCAGCTAGTTCAGTCCGCTCATGGATTCAGAAAGCGAGCAAAACTAGGTGACTGAAAGGAGGAGGAAGCTAATGTTCCCCTCGGCGAGGTCCTGAAGGTCGGCAAGAGACCAGGCAAGCCGCCCCTGCTGCCTGCTCAGAGGTGACTGGGAAATCTAGAGGGATTCCGTCCTCACGACACTGGCACATTGGCCAGTATCTTTTCCTGGGACCAGCCTGCTCCCCTTGCTGTACATCCAGGTAAAGTGGCCTTGATTTGCAGCCAGGACAATTCCAATGCTAATTGTCCGGAGAGGGTAGGGATGGGGTACAGAGAAAAGTAAGGAGAGTCTTGCTTCTCACCTTCCCCTCCACATTGGTTAAAATTAACACAATCCCTTTTTTTTTTGGCAGACAGTGCTGGTGGGAGGGGTTCAGATCCTGTCCGTTGGTTGGCTTTCACATATTCCAGCCTGGAATAAGGCAGGTGTTCTGCAGGGAGGGTTGGCAGGCGCAGGAAAGCAGGAAGCTTAGGCTGAAAGGCCTTTTGCCAGGAAGGGAACTGCCCTTTCCACCCGCTGGCTGATCACCATCGTCCTTGCCTCTTTCATCTTGCCCTGATCCTCCTGTGGGAAGGTATGCTGTGGCTGGCTGAAACCCAGCTCCCAAAGCTGCCACTCAGCTCTGTTTTGGAAGGAGCCAGAACCGACATTTTCGATGGCTTTTGCTCTCAAGGGCTCAGGATATTTGAGAGACAACCATGGGGTCTCTTTCCAAGTCAAGCACCTGCCTTCTGCAATGGTTTTCAGGGAGGCAGGTACCCCCAGCTGTTCTCCCTCTCCCTCACATTTTTGTCTACTCACTAGCGTGTCCACCTGGATATCCTCTGTTCAGACTGCCATAACAAGATACCATAGATTGGGTGCCTTGTAAACAACAGGGATTGGTTTCTACAGCTCTGGAGGCTGGAGGTCTGAGATTAGCATGATAACCTGGGCGGGTGCTGGTGAGGACCTCTTGATTTGGAGATGGCTGGCTTCTATGTATTCCATGTATTCCATGCAGAGGAATACAGCAGTGTCCTTAGGGGTCTCTGTGAAACTGCACCTGTCCCATTTATGAGAGCAAACCTTCATGACCTAAAACTTCTCAAAGGTCCCAACTCCTAATAACATCATATTGGAAGTAAGAATTTCAACATGAATTTGGGGGACATAAACATTCGGTGCACATTATTCTGTCTGTGCCCTACCATTCATGTCCTTCTTGCATTTATTATACATTCATTCCATTCAAATAAGCCAAAAATCTTTTTTTTACTTTAAAAAACATTTATATATATATATATATATATATGTATATAAAATAAATACATATAATATATAATATAAAGTTTGAGACTAAAAATATAGTACATAATATTTTAAAAAAAGAAAAAAGAAAAAAAGGCAGGATAGGAAAAGGTGTGAGGAACACACAGACACACATTGCTAAAAATCTATGGTGGTTTGTCCTAACAAAAATAATATTTCTTTTTCTCTTCTCCTAATTATCATAATGGATACATTGATTGGGATTTGGGTGGAGAAAATTCAACTGGAGCCAGAAATAGAGGTTACAATCCCAAGAAAGGCTGGGGTAGAAAATGTGACCACAGGGAGGCTTGGCAAATAAGCCGAAAATCTTGACTTGTTCCGACATCAACTCTGAAGTCCAGAGTCTCATCTAAATATCATCTACATCAAATAAGGGTGAAACTCAAGTATGATTTGTCCTGAGCAATGATCCTCTCCAGCTACGAAGCTCTGAAACCAAACAAGTTATGATATCCTAAAGCACAGAATGGAGGAGTAGGAAAGAAGAAACAGAGCGTGAGTCCCAAGCAAGCAAAAGAACTTGGCAAGGCGAACTCCACATCTTGAAACTGGGCACCTGCTCTCTGCTCGACAGCCTGCATTCCAGATCCAATGGAGAGATGGTCCCACCTTCAGGGGCCACTTAGGTGGCACTATTGCCCCCACTGCTCGAGGAGGTGCTGCCCATGCTGTGGTTGGTCCCACCCTTGCCATGCCAAGGTTCTGTGTGTGGTCCACACCGAAGTTCTTTGTTGGGGTGGGGCAAGCCCTTCAAAAGAGAGATGGAGGCTGCTCTTCCCAGACTGGGGACTCTGCCCCAGCAGCCAGGAGGCCAGGGAGAACCTGAGAGGTGTCTCAGCTCTGGTATCACCATGCTCCCTTTGTCCCTAGAGTTCCTCGGAGCAGCCTACCTCTCTTTTGAGTCTGGACTGTTGGAGTCTCTTCTCTCCTGGGTCCTTCTTTCTTTCCTTCCTTTTTCTAAACTATGGGTCCAACTTTGTCCTCTGCCTTTACTTAAGCACTTTTGTTGGAGCCCTATCACCCGAGGGCAAAGCCCGTCAGCCACTGCACACACCTGTCAGCTTGCGGATGGGCCCTGCCCTGCCTGCTTTTCTGAGGTTTTGGCTTCTCCATACTTTCCCAGGCTCTGTGGATTTTCTAAGTGCTGTGCCCTCCCCTAGGACTCTGCACCGCCCCCCACCCTGCCAGTAACGACTTCCACCTGAAAAGCTGTCCCCACAGGGCCCTCCCTCTCCTTCATCACAGCCCTCACTGCCTGGCACTGTGAAGAGCACTTTATGGGCCCTGAGTAGGGTCTGATGGTTTGCATGGCTGTGTCATCCCTTAAGTTCCTGGTGACACTAAATGGAAGCTGTCCCTTCCCCCTTTGCTGCACAAAATATAAAGGATTCAACTTAAAAAAAATCTGAAAATATCAAACTGAAATTATATATATTAAGGTGAGCATGATAAAATCTTCCAATTGAAAAATAAGCTAAAAATATCCCCTTAATTATAAAATTGGTTTAGAAAGTCACTGAGTTCTCAGGCATGTAACCTTAAGCTTAATTCCCATGTTCTATTTTCTATCATATTTAGTGCTTATTAGGCAGCCTATTATTAAAATCTCCACTTAACTGACATTTTGCTCTGAATCATTCACAAAATAAAGTACTGAGAAATATTCAAATATTTGTACCTGGCTAGCACTTAGTAGGTGCTCTCTAAGTATTAATGGTCTGCCTTTAAAAAGACATACCTAGCTATCTTAGGTATTCATTCTGAGGGATCTACTTCTTGTTTTGGGTTATAAATATTGGCAGCAAAGTGGATTTTTTTTATTTATGTAGCAACCTCAGCTTTCAGGAATCTTTGTTTATAAACTTTTTTCTTTCTGCTGAGGGAGAATTTCTAGAAGAGGAAGGAAGCTTAGGGATGATCTATTCCAACACTTTGATTTTATAGAAGCAGGATTGAGGGTTAAATGACAAGTCCAAGATCTGACA